GAGGTTTTCTTAGCTGCTTGTCTACATGACGCTTCCCTGATGGTGAGTGTGGGCCTGCCTCCGCATAGAAGTCCTGCGCGAACAGGTAGTCATGTGTGTGACGCTCCTGACTGGCAACGCATCCTTGCCCTTTCCCACATTGTTTTTGAGCAGCTCTCACTGGGGACGTTCAGGCCTTTGTACTCAGATGCCCATCAGCAGGCATTTACCTTTTCATGCTTGCCTTCCGTGTGCCACATCCACAGTCACAGCAGAGCCTGCCTTTCAGTAGAGTCACGGTTCCCAAAACACATTTTAAAATGCCAGTCAGGGGCGCCTGGGTGGCGCAGTCGATGAAGTGCCTGGCTCTTGGTCTTGGTTTCAGCTCAGGTCATGATCTCACAGGTCCTGAGATGGAGCGCCGCCTGGGGCTCCGTGCTCAGCAGGGAGTCTGCTTGAAGGTCCTCTCCCTCTGCCCCTCCTCCCACTCGCCCTTGCGCACACATACTCTTTCCCTCTCTAAAATAAGTCTTTAAAAAAATAAAAAATAAAATGCTGGGTCATTTCCTGTACTCTCTGCTGGATGGGGAAAGCCTAAGAGTGTATTCCTTTAATCCTGTCCTTTATTCTTTAGACTCCATTTACTACCACACTCTGGCAATGAAAGAAGGATTCATTTACCTTCTGTCTTAGAGTCAACAGAGTAAGTCTTTTGCAGGGACAGGGGAGCAACCTCTGGGCTGTAGAACTGGATTAAGATATTTCTGTATTGATGTTACCTGCCATAAGCTTTGACCCTGTCCTTTATGGTTTATCAGAGACTGTGATCTTGGGAGAAGAGATGCTGGACAAATATTTCAAATAGGTGCTTAGACCAAAAACATTCAGGAACCTGTAGTTTATGGGAGTAAAAGTCAAATATGACAAATGTGATCTGCGACTAATATAACACTGTATGTTAACTATACTGGAATCAAAATAGAATAAAATAAACAAAAAACAAATGTGATCTATTCTCCAGGAAAAAAAAAATCTTTGGAAGATGATTGGAACTCATTTGAGTGTCTTTCTGTATATTAATAATACATAAATAATAGACTGGCCCCCGCATTTTAAGTGATTATTTATCTTTGGGTGGTGAAATACAAGTAATTTTTTTTTTTAAGATTTATTTATTTTAGAGAGAGAGCATGAGCAGGAGGGGCAGAGGGAGAGAGAATCTCAAGTAGACTGCGCTGAGCATGGAGTCTGTCATGGGGCCTGATCTCACAACCCTGAGATCACCACCTGAGCCGAAACCAAGAGTCGGACGCTTAACCATCTGTGCCACCCAGCATCCCCAAGTGATTTTTTTTTAAACTTTAAAAATACTTTCGTATGTTTTCAAAGATTCATATAATGAGCATATATTGTTTTTAAAATTCGATTTTAAAGTTGTATCAAAAATAAGATACTTTTTTAGAAAGTAAATATACAAACAGCTTAATCCAGCTTCTCAGTACTGAAAGGCATATTCATAAGAATTCGTATTTTTTACTTTTTTACTTTCTAAAAGATTTACTTATATATTTTTATTTTAGAGAGAGAGAGCATGAGGCAGGGGAGGGGCGGAGAATCTCCAGCAGCTTCCCTGCTGAGCACGGAGTCTTTTAGAGCCTGTTGCAGGGCTCAATCTCACAATCCTGAGATGATGACCTGAGATGGAATCGAGTCAGTCACTTAACCGACTGAGCCACCCAGGTGCCCCAAGATTTTGTGTTTTAAAGTAAAGTCATGTACGTACAATTCCCCTAAAACCCTGTCACGTATATGTGACGCTGGTTGTCAGTGGCATGACAGACCCTATTGAGTCAGTGTCACGGGAGATGAAGGTGGTTTTATTGTCTCATTTCTTTTGAAATTGCTAGAAGGAAAAAAATGAGGTTCCCTTCCCACTCAGATTTAGCCAGGAAAGCCCTTGTGAAGTCGAAACATTTTATGTTCTTCTGTTTTTACTCTTATCTTTCCTCCTTCTCCCCCAAGGGATAAATAGCATAGACTGCAAATGAGGGACAGTTGCTAGGCTCAGGCAGTGGCAGATCGAAGCAGCTAGAGGGGGGAAGGATAAGGAAGCCCAGGAGCTTCCTGGCACATCCTGAATTCGACTCACCTGTGTGACCTGATTTAACATTCACCTTTTTTGCTCTCAGAGAAACTTTTTCCCCCTTCTGGGGAGTTCAGAATTGACTCTGTTGCACACGAGAAACTGCAACCTGTAGGCAGAAATAGACCTAGCCACTCTTAACACACATGTGACCCTGGTAGCTCAATCTTTACCCTCTCGGCCTCTTCATATTCCCATTGGTAGAAATGCCAAGGGCCAAGACACACTGTTTGGAAGAGGTTTCATAACCAACCAGTAACTATTGACTACTTATTATGTGTGTAGTTGTGCTATTTCTTGTAACCAAAGCCCATACAAAAGGTGTTTTATACATTATTGCCTGTAGAAATATGTGTATTGTCAGCATGGGAAGCTGATACATTTTAGCTCAGTTGACTAAGATACTGAACCCATTGGCCTTTTTTGGATTCTTTCAAACTGACCTAAAAATTATCTTCCTTGAGTGATTAAAGTTTGAAATGGTTGAAAAGTAGGCTTTAGGGGCGCCTGGGTAGATCAGTCGTTAAGTGTCTGCCTTCGGCTCAGGTCATGATCCCGGTGTCCTGGGATCAAGCCCATCAGGCTCCCTACTCCGCGGGAAGCCTGCTTCTCCCTCTCCCACTACCCCTGCTTGTGTTCCTGCTCTCGCTATCTCTCTCTCTCTCAAATAAATAAATAAAATCTTTTTTTTTAATGTTTTATTTATTTATTCATGAGAGTCAGAGAGAGAGAGAGAGGCAGAGGCAGAGGGAGAAGCAGGCTCCCCGCCTAGCAGGGAGCCCG